ATATTTTTATCAATAACAAACAAGCCCTGGAGGATTTCAGAATTTTAATCCCGTTACATTATAAGGAAATGTTGATACTTCAAAATATGTGTTTATACATTGAACAATATTTTCTAAACCTGTAATAGATTTATCAATGGTTATTTTAACATCGTTTATGATGTTAATCTCACGATATTATATTATGTTTTATTTTTATCGTTATCGACAATTATTGTTGTCGATGTAATTGTAAATGATCGTTATCGTTATGTACACTGTAAAACATTCCTGGTCAAATTACGGTATAAACAATTGGCACTTTGGGTGCATCATCCAAAAATTAATTTTTTCTGTGAAGTATTTTACCGTAATTTTTACAATAATATTTATTTTGTAAAAGTAATTTAGTGATTATTACGGTAATTAATACTGCAAAAATTATGGTATATTAAATTTTTTGTTTCGTAACATGTTTCGGTAAAAATATATTTTACGGAAAAAAGTACCAGCACCCGAGTGTCGGTACTTTTATCTTGAACCGGATTTTTTTGCATTGGAAAGTATTGTACCTAAAACTTAATGTTATCGATAACACTCTTGATACTCTTTCACGTTAGGTATTTATCGCAGTTGATAATTATGGCTGATGATAGTGTTCACTTTTGTAATTATATATTTGATTATTATTGCTTGGAACATCATTGTCTCACAAAAGCGTACCATTCTTGTTATTTTTGTCACATTCCTTTTTGCCTCTGATACTTTATACTATTTAGAGAAAACCTTAAATAACTGCTTTCACAACGCACACTTTCGAGTTCTATTTTATTATTTAAAAATCTTACTCTTAATTACTCTTAATTTTGTTTACTCTTAATTTTTTTACGCCGTTGAAAAATTCAAGTTTCATCTCACTTAACGGTTAGGAATAGTCCCTGCCTCCTTACTGAACTTCAACTATTAAAATTTTTTCCTGTCTTTTTTTCTCAAAATCTATACAACAAAACATTATAAAAGATAACTCTGTCAAACTTGAAATCTGTATGGATTAAACACCTTAACTGCTTTTTCATAAAATTGGAAGAAAGGAGGAATAAGATTTTGGCCAGTGAAAAGTGATAATTTTTTTTTTTAAATCACTTTTTGCTAACTCTCTGTTTCCTTAGGAAACTAAACAAATTTTGATAGCAGGACTTTCTTAGATTTCGATTACTTTGTTTCTCCCTTTCTTTATTTTTTAAATTAATTAACATTTAACTCGGTGCCGCAATAGCTTAAAGATGGACAAGGCCTATTGTGCCCACCTCAGTTTTCTTGACCTGGGGCTCTGGGTTGCAAAAGCAGATACTCCGGTTGAGTGGTCAGTCCGAACGCGGAACCCCCAGTGCTTAGTCCCTAAGTATACTGATTTTATAGATCCACTAAAAGGATGAAAGTTTGAGTCAACCTTGCCCGACCGGAGGATCGAACCCAGGACTTGTGGCTCGAGACTGCAAAGCGCTACCAATCAGCCACGGGGCGTCATTTTTTTTAATTAATGTTTAATTGATTTGCCTTAGTGTGTATTCAACGGTGATTTAATTTTCGATATAGATTTTAAAAATATATGTTAAAGATCGTAATTATGGAAAACCATTATAATTATTTTTATGCTTTTTAAAAGAAAAAAAAATGGAAAACTATGCAATTTAATGGGGGTTTTTTTCGATTTTTTTTCTTTTTTTTTTAAATTTGCTGTTTAAAATATAGTAAAAATAAGTGAATATTGAAGTTTTTTTTTTAAAATCTTATAATGAATAAGTGAACACTTTAATTAACTTTAATAATTGGTGCAGCAAATTAAATACAAAGATATTTAGTAAAATTTTTAAAAAAATATTCCGGATACACTTAAAATAGTTAATAAACAAAGCTAATCCAAAACAATACCATTTTAAACAAAGAGAATAGTTTAATTCACTATAAATTCATCTGTACAAACTTTAATACAAATGGTTTCTTAAAACTAGCTTTGAAATTTTTTTTAATTAGTTACAGAAACTTTTATCATTAAACTTTTTCACAAGCATTAACAACTTTCTGTATTCTGAAAAAAAGAAAGCGAAGCTTGGATCTGGACCAATTTAAGTATTTAAGTGCTTTATTTGCAAAAAAAGTGCATTAACCTTGAGAAAATTGAGTTAAAATTTGCAACTAACTTAATAGATACGACTCATTAAGCAGCTATAAATAGAAAAAAATCAGATAACACTCTAACTTAACAATGCTTTATATCTTAATTTTTCTATATCATAAAATCGTATTTCACCTGACTAAAATCTACAGGAACTTGAAAAATTTCGAATATTAAAATTTCGAAATGATTAACAATAAATGAATTTTGAAAAAAAAATACGTATATATATATATATATATTTATTTCTAAAATTCTACTAAGTACAGCAAGCTGTTGCAATTAATCTTTTCTCTTGAGGATATCCTTGACTGTCTCCTTAACTTGATCGTACAAGCTGCCCAAATCCTCTTTGTAGGGTCTCAAAAACTCCAAAGCTTCAACAGCAACTTCTTTGCTGACGTCCTTGGTGTGCTTAAGAAACTGAAATTTGAAAAATGCAATCAATTTAAATCAGAAAATAAAAATTGCTATTTTTGTCAAAATGCCCGAAACAAGAGTTCCCTTGTCTTCTGGGTTGGATTCAAAATTACTAGGCTATAGAGTTAAATATTGATAGTTGTAATCTCAGAATCAGGTCGGCTGTTTAACGACAGTTATATAATGAAATTTCATAAGCTACTTGAAAAATCCAGCTTTTGCAAACCGTCCTCGTCACTCTATCTGGCGGTTTGCTAATAAAAACATCTACAATTGCAAAAAGCCTGAGTTTTATATTAGCTACGACAACAAATAAACTAATTTATTCAATTAGTTTTGAATTTAAAAACTTGTGTTAAAAATTTTTCCTGCTTAGAAAAAAATAGTGCAAACAAGATTGGAGTTTACTCTAAACATATACAAGAGTAAATTTGTGCTGAGATTATAATCCTTGGGAAAAAGTTATGTAATACATTTTGCTTCTTCGCATTTTGAAAATAACGATCTGAACTAATTTCTTAAACCTAGATTTAAAGGAAGAGAACAACCTTATATGGATAAATAACCCAGGAGACAATTAGAGTTCAAAATTAGACACGAACTTAGCAATCAACTATAAGACAGTTATATGCCCTTGACAATACACAAATAAAAAATCCTGTGTTTCCTAAATAACTTACTCTTAGTTTACATTTTAGTTTCTTTGTTGTGCAAATTGCATGTCGGAAACATTGTTGACGTTAGTTTGATGGAAGTCTAATTTAGCTTATAATTGTTGCTTCAGTCTTCGAGAATATTTGTTCAATCACAATATTTAGTTTTAATTTTTGCCTATGACTCGATGAGTTTTATCGAAAAATTTTGTTTTATTAGAAAAGGTTAACAGCTAGATTCCAGTTACTTTACTTTGACAGCGGACGAAATTCCAACATTGTTATTTAATTTTAAAAACTAATTTGTGCATTTCATAGCAAAAAATAAAGAGAATAGAACAGCAATTGTAACACAAGCGGCCATAATCAAAATTATTATTTTTTTAAAAATTGAAATACCTCATTGGCGATTTGCTTGATGTTGTCCATTTTACCCTTTCCTTTGTCGAGAGTTTCTTTGGCGAATTTCTTTACCCATTCTCCGAACTTCATGTACTTTTCTTGGAGGTCAATTTTAAGATCCTTGAAGTAATCCTTGATCTTTTGCCAGGAATANCTATAAATGGTGAGGAATTAAACAGCACTTTTTAGAAATTTAATTGTGTTTCTTGTGCACAAATTATTAAAATTAAATTCATAATAAAGACAAAAATAAAGAACTTTATTAGCTGCCTGACTCACTAAATATAATTTTAATAAAAAATCAAGACAAACAAATATAAATCGTAAAACTTTTTTTGCAAGTGCGAAATCAAACCACGACGAAAAGATGTGGAAAATTTGAATTTAAACTGAAAAAATAACTGTGATATTAATTCCAATGTATTTATATTTTGCAATTGAAATTTATTTCACATTTCAACATTTACATATTATACAAAAAACTTTCTAAAACAAAATACTGTAAAGAAATATCAGCGTTAATTAATCTGACGTTTTAAATAGTGTCTTTTTTATACTATCTGACTTTAGAAAATGTTTACAATAGCTGAATTTTTTCGAACTCACTCCGTTTTCTGTAAAAATTAAAAACGTATAGGTACTTGCAAGTTTCTGTCTAAAAAAAACAGTCATTGTAGTATGAGTAAGGTAAAACATAATTATAAATTATTACAATAATACATTTGGTGCACCTGCGTATTTGTTAAGCATTGCCAACTTTGGCTGAATAATATCCACAATATTTCTGCCACGTAAAGCAAGTGATGTAAAACAATTTGCAAAAGCGCATGATTAAACAGGTATTGTTTTAAATTCTAATTAAGTACCTTGTTTTTAACCCATCACAAAATCTAGCTAATTTATAAGTAATGGTTAACGCCTTAATCAGTTATTCTTTTTGACTTATTATAAAAATTCTATAGATTTGATTTTTCTCCTAATTGAAATATATTTTCACATTTATGTCTATCACTATTGATGTAATACCTAAAAGTTTTTAGAATTATTCTTATTCGCAATATTACACAATTTTCAAAATAAACCAGCTGAGGCATTCCAAATTCCCAGAAGATGATGATTGGTCTTATAGAATATTTCAAAACTCTGTTCAGTATATGAAAATCATACTTTGTCAATGTGTGTTTATTATTGTGCACAATGCTGACAATCTTTTAAACTTTTTGGTGGTATTTTAAAGGCAAAAAATATTAACTGCAAGATATACTTATAAAAGTGTAAGTGAAAAATTTTATTACAATTTTACATATATGCGTAATAATATATTGTGACAAACGATTTAAAAAAAAAAGGGGGAAATACGAAATACTTACTTCACTTCCTTTTCCAAAAATTTTCTCAATCTTGGCCTTCAAAGCCTCTTTGTCAATTCCCTTCAAAAGCTGAATCAAAAAAGAGAAAACATTGAAATACTCCAGCACTCATATAACTGTTTCATACATTGAGAAAAAAATATGGTCAGAACTACCGCAATATTAAAAAAATTACAGTGTTTTTGGCTCCATATCAACTCCAAAAAGTTCGGTTATTTTTACCAAAAGGCCTTTTTATAAAATAATCAATAGAATACGGTTTTGTAATGTGTGAGAAAATATGGCAAATGTGATAAAATTCGGTAATTTTATCTTGATAGCTTAGTATAAACACCTTTTATTTGGTTACATTTGCTTTTCCGTTTTGTATTTCTTACTAAATGTGTGGTAATAAGAACTATAATGTTGAAAACCATAATTTCCAGTAAGCAATAAACGGGAAAATTAGCGAATGAATGGTTTAAATACCGTATATTTTGGTTTTATTAACCAGAAAAATGTCATTTTACCGGAAATAACATTACCAGATTTTTTTTCCACATGTATAGTTCAGGTAAAAAAGCGTGTGCTTTTATAAGAAATTCATTCTTTTTTTTTTCTATTGCCCACCTGGGATTTGACCTAGGTCATACAGGCACCTGAAGGGTAGATTTGTTGGCCACTCTTTCACGGGCACCATATTAGGTGAGCCAGCGTTACTCCCACAGTAAGGACAGATAGTACAGAGAAGGAAAGAACATCCATGCCTTGCCCGGGATTCGAACCCAGATCAGAAATTCATTCTAAATAATCTATTTATATTCACGGCAATACAACAAGCTGTTCCCTCTCTGTCCTAATTGTTTTTCTAGTTAATTCTTTTTACACTTAATGTTACTTGATAGACTAAAATACAACAATTTTATTAATTATTAGTCAAACATTTATTCCGATTTGCTATTATAGTTTAATTTTTAAAGGTTTTCAAGATGATTGGGTGTTAAACTTATTAGTATCTTGGGAACCTAAGCTATAGTTACTAGACCTAATATGATTATTCATTATAAAGTAGTGAAAGCACGTTATTGTAATTCAGAAGTTCTTAGAACCGAAAATTAAAACTGAAATAAGCAAAAAATAGCTTGTAATAAACTTTCAAATCCCAAAAATGAAAAAGTTTTACTTAACGTTTATTCAATTGCTTAAATACCAAGGCAATGTATGTAACTTTTATTCCTTCTTAAATTATTATTTTTCCTTTTATTTTGAATGCAAATAGTCCTAAAGTTTTTCTATTTATGTTTTAATGCTCAATATTATTACACCATAAAAAATTCTAGATCAAATTGCGATAAAATGTATAGGCACTCAGAGTATCGGTATTTTTTTACAGTATAATCCATTTTTACTGGAACATATTGTAGAACAAAAAATTTGATATGCTGTAATTTTTACAGTAATAATTACCGTAAAATCATTGAATCACTAAAAATAAATAAATATTGTTGCAAAAATTACTGCTATGTTACGGATAAAGCGCCCAAAGAGCCGGTACTTTGTACTGTAATTTGAACAGGAATTTTTCGCAGTATATTCAAATTTGATTTTGTAAATCTTATTATAAACATTATTTCAAATTCATTTTAGTAACAATCAGTAGCATAACATTATCGTCACGTTAATTGCTGACGTTAATATTAACTACTACTTTATATCGTAATTTTGTCCAGAATTTTTTGTTTTCGAGATTTTTACCTGTATATATAGTCAACTTCAATCAAATGGAAAAAAAATAAAACTCGATTCTCGAGAAACTTTTAGGTGATATCTATCTTTATAACAGAAAAGCTTTTATTGTACCTCTTTCTTCAACTTTCTGAAAACATCCTTGAGGTTGAATTCAAATTGTTGAATCTCTGCATCTTCAACAAAGACCTTTTCGTTTTGCAGTGCAAACTCATCTACAAATATATTGTATTCCATTAAAGTTGTCTTAGATATACCTTGAAGTTGCAGTATTCTTAGTATTTAATTTATTATTATTGCTGTCTTACAGTAAAACTGATTAATTTAAATAATAACAATAAAAATTAACTGTTATCCGAATCTTACACCCTTTGCATTAATTGTCTATACAAATAATTTAGTATATGCAGTAGTAAATTTTAAAACATCATAGTTTTATTACAAATCGTGTTGGACCCAACATAATAAGCAATTTCATCTCAAAGTTCAGAACTGTCAGTTAATTTAATTATTTTCCAAAACCTATGAAAGATTCATGGAGAAAATTTGTCCCTATGCATGATATAAATTTATTGTTAAGAATTCGCTTTAATAAACATAGCATAGTTATGGATTCATTTTATGTTGGTCTTCCTATTCAAAATAATGATTCGGATTTTATACGAAATGACATACTTAGATGTAGTTATTTAATGTGTTTCGAGCATTTATTTTGAATTAATAAATTTGGGGTGTTTTATGAATTTACGTCATATTACTTATGCATTTTGATATATAACTTTTTTCTTATTTTCTATGCATTTGTTTTATATTTTTATGAATTTTTCAGTATTTGCAAACATATATTCGGTATTCCAAAGCATTTATTATAAGTTTCAAGAACATTTATTCCTATCATTAGCTAATTTAATAATAAAGTTCTACGTTTTTTTTGAATGATTGTCGTTAAGAAAGCCATGAAATTTAAGAGTTTATTGTTTACACAGTTTACACAGTTAACGTTTTTCGAACTGATTTAATGTTCCGCGTAAAATTTTAACGGTCACGATAATATGATGACTACTAAGTTTAAAAATACAATCGGAAAATATGGAAAGATATATTTCAAGAAATTGTAAAAATATGCACATACTAATAATACTATATACTAATTGTAAAAAAAATACATTATTCTTTAAGCAACTTAAAGCTTAATTAAATTTTCAATATGATTGACAATCACATGCTCATTAAATACTTGTGTTACAAATGATAGCATTTTTCAGTTGATTAAAAAAGTTTTTAATATTGTAATATGTATAGGTTAAAGGTAGATTATATTAATTTGTGTATGCAGCAATCAAAAATAATTAATTTAACTGCCAAACATTCGCTTATTAAATACTGGTGTTACAAATGATAAAAATTTTCAGTTGATAAAAAAGTGTTTAACATTGTAATAATTGTAGGGTAAAGTTAGATTAGATTCATTAATGAATGCAGCAATAATCAATAACACTTGAGGCATTTCAAGATAGCAGCAACAGTTTTAAAAAATATCAATCAATTTTTGTATCTATTTCGAATGACAGAATGTCTTAATATTTAAATTTTTCATTATTCTAAACGTAATTTGATAATTAATAATTCTCTCTTAAGTTATATTTACCTTCTTGGAAGAGAGGGGATGCAGCTGCGCATGCAGCGAGGAAGAGAAGTACAAACACCTTCATTATTGCAGACCTATAAAAATATCCTTTTAATCACATGTTTAAAATGTATTTCTATATAAATGCAAAAAATATTCATAAAACATTTTAGATGTTTTGATATCTAATTAGTAAAATTATGTTTCTTCAAACGTAACTTTCTAATAAAATTAAAAAAACAAAAACTATTTCAGATCGAAGTAAATCCTATAAAAAGCTGTTATTTCATCTAGGTATAAAATAAAAAATATTTCTTGTGTATAAAATTCGTATCGCAATAATATGTTTTCAAACTTTATTACCAAAACAATTAAAATTGATAATGGAATGCTTAGAAAATGAAGTTAAATTGTATCGTAATAAGGTATTTTTATATCTACTAATTTAACTTAAGTCTTTCAAAAGTAACTGCGTAATGAACCAAAAACTTCTTCAGATTAAAATTAAACAAGAAAATAAAGTTCGTCCATGTTTATGCATTTTTTTTACATATCAGAGACAAAAATTAATTTTTTTTTAAATAATTGTTTCCTTTTCTTATTTTATTATAGCTAAAAGTAATAAAGCACACATAAAAAAGCATTTTTAATCAATGTATTAATATTAGAAATAAAAACGATTATACTCTTAAAATTATTGTACAACTTTAATCTAATGTATGAATGTATTGGTAAATCAATACATTCTTGTATGCTATGCACTAGTTTTAAAAGAAATATATTTACCTGGAAAATTCTCAGAGTGCAAATTCAGGAAGAAATATTAAAGTAGAATGATTTTATAGAGGCACCTTGGGTTCAAGGGTTGAAACTTGAAATTCTTATCAAATAATTATGCAGCATAAATGTTATCATGATAACACATTTTCCTAATCCAAAGCATATGTTTGATTCTCACAAAGGCGGACAAACCTTCTAAATTTCAAGTATAAAAATGAACGCAAAACCTGCATGATAACAAAAAAACGCTCTTTATAGGGAAGAAGCTTATTACACAGGTTCTGGAACATATTTCATTATGAAATAAATGCTGTTTACATTATGATTTTAAAATTATAAATGAAAATTTATTTTTTTTTTATCAGAAACTAAGGAATATAATAGATTTTTACTTAATACTAGGTAATATTAAAAAGAATTGTACCATTTTAGAATACTAATTATTCTTACTGAAATTCGGCTACAGAATCAGATTAAAAATAGTTGTAACTGCTAACAATCGATTTTAATTTTTTTTTAATATATTTTAAAAATTAAAATGTGAAAGATTTTAGTGCTAATAGTAAATATTGATCTTCAATAGGATAAAAAATAATAATAAAAAATTTTTTTAATTAAAAAAGTAATAAAAATAGTTAGAATAATTTTAGATGTGCCTTTAATCGTTTATTTTTTTATAACCTATGTTATGCCACGTTTTATAAAGACTATATTAAAAATATTTATAAATAGAAACATAGATAAAAAATTTTTAAGATTTTCAGTTTGAATTTCTTTTCAGATTTAACATGGGTAATTTTTGAATAACCTATGTTACTGTACGTTTTAAAAATCCACCAAATATAAACTTCTATTTATGTTCTGAATTAATCAGTAGTTCATTAAAATTTTGAAGGTATAGTGTTAGTAAAATATTTATTACTACACGAAATTTAAA